TGACAGTCTGACATCCAGCAGAATGCCGTCACTCGAGGGACATCCGGATATGTCAAAGCAACAGAACTCGAATCTCGAGAATACTCTTGCATACTCCTGGATGGTGGAGGAATGCATACTGGCAGCATACAGCAACAAGCCCATCAGTTGTCCGAAGCATTCGGAGATTCCATTATCGCATGTCGCACCGGACATCATCTTCATGGATTTGGGCGTCAAACACCTGATTAAATCGGAGGAGTTGAAGAGGGGTAAGTTACTAGGTCGTGGTGCCTTTGGTTTCGTCTTTCGTGGCAGTTGCCGATTACCCGGCACACATGTCCGCGCCGACGTGGCCATCAAAATGTTGCAACCAGTCTCGCCAGGTCCAAATTCTACGCAGTCGGCAATCCTCGCATACAAAGCATCACAAAGTAAATGGGACCGTGATCCGCTGCAGTACGCTTGCAAAGCGTATTGTATGGCGCGTCAAGAGCTCAATATTTTGCTAACACTCAGGCATGCTAATATCGTGCCGCTGATAGGTATAGTCGTCAGTCCTCTGGCTCTTGTATTGGACCTGGCACCTCAAGGCGCATTGGATGCCGTTCTGAAGAACTATCGTCGTTCCGGTGCTAAGTTGGATGCTTATACGCTTCAGGCGATAATCCTTCAGGTCGCTAAGGCTGTGGAGTATCTGCATCAGCAACATGTCATTTACCGCGACCTCAAATCAGAGAACGTATTGGTGTGGCAGATGCCGTTACCATTTCAAGAGAATCCGGAACCGGCGCACGTCAAAGTCGCTGATTACGGTATTTCGAGACTGACGCTGCCTACGGGAGCGAAAGGTTTTGGAGGCACAGAAGGCTTCATGGCGCCTGAGATCATTAGATACAATGGCGAGGAGGAATATACGGAGAAGGTGGATTCGTTTTCGTTCGGCATGTTCATCTATGAGCTCATCACACTGCGCCAACCGTTTGAGGGCCACGAAGCGGTGAAGGAGTGCATTTTGGAGGGCGGTAGACCACCACTCATGTACCGTGAGACTTTCCATCCATGCTACGCGCTCGATTTGATGGTGATATGCTGGGCACAGAATCCGAAGGATCGACCAACTGCCAGTCAGATTGTTTCAATTGCCTCCGCACCCGAGTTCACGCATCTGATAGATGTCACTCTATTGACAGAACGTACGCAGGTGACTGCGGTCACCATGACTAATTATTACGGTAGCGGGTCAAATGATGCAATAGATAGTCTAAATAGCGATGAGATCTGGTTCGGACACAATAATGGTGAAGTAGATATGCTGTTAGGTACTCAAAAGGGCTGGCTGCGCCATGTACGCATTGAAACACCTGTGATACCATACGCCATGTGCGGCGTAGATGGCTATATCTGGATTGGCGACAATGCCGGTCAGATACACGTCTATTTATGCGGTAACTTTGGTTGTGTGGCCAGTTACAGTCTGGAGGCAGATCACAGTCGGGAGTCTAAAGTAGTCGGGCTGATTCACTTGGAACAGTTGAAGCAATTTGCTGTGGCTTTGCACAGCGGCCGGATCTTTTTGTTATCCAACACGTTCATGCAGATGAAGAAGACTGAGATCACTGGCGGCAACAATGGCACGGAAATGATGCGCCACAATGCTGACATCAAGACCTATTCGCTTGCCGCAGTCTGCCGCAAGAGACGTGTGCTGGAGCTCTGGGCTGGCCAAAGTTATGGCCGGATATCCATTTACACTCTAAAGGATGGCAACCTGGCTGACACGACGCAGCTGTCTCACTGTTCCGCCAATGACGCCGCGATGAAGAATCTGTTTGCCACGTATCTGATCGGTGTGACGACCGAGAGCTTCGTTTTCTCGTACACATATCCAGGCTGTATCGTATATCAATGGGATGTAGACAGCCGACAAATCATCAATAAACTCGACATGTCTAAACTGGTACCGTGTTCCGAGAGTCTCAAGTCCATCGCTATCGAGGAAAATTTATCGACGGAAAAGTGTCAGGTGACTGCACTCGAAGCTAGCTGCGGTCAATTATACATCGGCACTACCTGGGGCTGTATCGTCGTTGCCGAGTGCGGTACCCTTCGTCCCGTCACTGTGTTCCGGCCGTTCGAGGGCAAAGTCTGCCAGATTGTGTCCCTCAAATCCACCGACAAGAGGAAGATGGTACTAGCGACCGTCGGCCAGGGATATCGCAGTCTGATCACGCGATATACCGACTTCTCTTTGAAGAGTCTGGAGAACGAGGAACTCAGGCACGGTATGTACACCCTGCTTTGGAGATCGGAAAATTGGTCGGCAGCTTGATTCCCTCGGAAATCATAAGGTCCACATCCTCAGGTGCATTTGGCGATCGTTTTTTAATATTACACGATCCGTCTGAGTTTATCTTACAAAAATAATAATATAATAAATAAGCTACATTTAATACAGAACGCGTAGTGGAAAGACAGATCTACTCTGGTCCAGCGATTTTTCAATGAGTACCGATAGAAAGTTTTCATTATATGGAAATTCGGTGCCAATATACGAGTAGTTATAATTTGGTATGACGAAAATTCGAAGATGAAGTTCGTGATGGGATCACACGATTCTCTTCTTTGGCAACACAATACCGGAAGTGCTTAAGTGGTGCGAGGTTCAATTGAGTAATATATGGGCTCAGCAGTGAATCTTATACGTCCAATATTATAGTATCTAGTACGTAAAGGATGTCGATTGCGCTAATAAGCGTGCTCGAGAAAGAAACCATATTTATAAAAATCGAAAAAGGAAACGACATTACAAGTCTCATGGAATTCGAGTTTTCCCACGAGTACTCTTATTAACGAACACCCTGCATCACAGGCTGTAAACTGATATTCTTTCGTTCGTCCAAAATCACAGCATTATCAAGTATAAGAAAAAAACATTCTTATTTTGTATAAAACTAAATCTTAAGCAAATAATCTAATGGTATTTTAACGTACGTTACTGCTTGCGTAAGTATATAATCGGACTCTACGAGAGTCGCGCTATATAAATATTTATATAACTAATGGAAGAGATAACGTAATGCAATCTGTTTTTCGTCATTGCAAGACATAGGATAAAAGAAGGAAAATGTTTTTCGAATATTAATTGATATTAACTGAGCTGATTAGATAACAAAGAGCTATTTTTAGCATCATCAATTTTACTTTTTATAATATCTCGTAGTATTAAGATTTCGATAAGTTTTACTGCTGAAATTAACGTAATCTTGAGTCGATATAGAAATATGATATTTCTAAATCATACTATCTTCGCGATTTAGTTACATCACGTCCAAAATAATATCTTTCACTGCACTGTAAGTTTTTACAGAGATTAAAGCTACTTTCTTTTTAGGAGACACAGTTTCAAATATCGTTTTATCTTTGTTATTCATTGCCGAGAAGGGTAGAATGATGTTTGTGTCTTTTAAAAGGAAAGCAGCCTAACTCTAACCGAACCGAAGGTTGTGGGACATGATGTATAAATATATATTAAACATTAATCTACTACTATACTATACAAGAATACACATACACATTAAAAGCATCTTGCTCAATAAAATCATTAGTGCCTGTGTTTCCACCAATGTAGATTAATTTCAAACTTTTCATCTTTTTCTAAAAGTCAGTTTTCATCATTTCGATTAACTTAATAGGCCGATTATTTCATTGGAATTGACCATTACAGTTGACACTTAATCGATCATTAATGTTACAGCCAGCTCTAACTCTTAGAACTAGAAAAAGATGAACAATAAATTGAACCGAGATTAATCTGTATTGGTGGAAACAGGCATAGATCTCGACTCATTTTATTTAATTATACGAATAATCAGTGTATCCCAAACGTAATCGATGTGATATGAAATACTCAGTGAAAGAAAGAACGTAAAATATTGTCATAAAAAAATTGTTATATTATTTTTAATTATAATGTTCTTTAATTACATTTATCGATAAGGTCTTCTATTTGCTAGAAATTTTCTTTTGCTTGATAGATATTCGTTTCTTCTAATATATATTTAAGCATTTTTGATATCTTTGAATTATGGCAATAAAATAAAAATGGAACATAACATTGTAATACAATACAATACATTTGCACATTTAATTCGCCCGTAACTCATGTAAACGGGAAGCGGCATTTAAAGGGCTAAATGGATATTATCTTTAGGAAATGTGATGTGGTTGGCCGAGAATATTTTCAATAACGTACAATGTGTACATCTTTGGCTGTTATTCTCGAACCGACGCGTTCGGTGCATTGATTCTATATCTTTAATTTATACGCAGCGTATTTTATATTTATTTTTTTAACTTTGCTCGTACCTGCAGCGCGTAAAGCACAGTGATATATGCAGCTTGTATCCCTTTTTTATAATATGACTATTGTAAAGAAATGTGATTGAAATTTGGAGCGTTCATGGAGCGAAGATTAAAAGTAAGCCCAAACTAAACAGACAGACAATTGATCGTATGTATGATCGAAAATTTTCTATACTTGTTCCTATGTTTGGAACCAAAATAAGATAATGTCTGAAATGAAATCATTGACGGTAGAAAAAAATAATTCGTTGAGATCCCGCGTACCTGAAAGGGTTCCGAATAATTAAAAAGTCCCCTATATGTGCGAGCGCAAATTTTCTACGTTTGTCCAGGCGATCGGTGTCAAAATGTACAATTGCGAGAGCAAATGCCTAAGATTATTGACGCATCAAACTTCAATCACAATAAAGGAATAGAAATTATCACCCTATACAATTATCCTGCATTCGTTTATATAGCGATTAGCGCAAAAGTATTACTTTTTTCTTGTTGTTCAACGAGTGTTAAACAAGGATTAAATGATACTCTTTGCGCTAACCGCTGCGTAAACGAATGCACTCTTATTGTCACATATGCCTTGGAATGATTAATGTTGTGTAACGAATAATTAATTATTGCGACTGAAAATTCTATGCGATTGATCTCCGTACATTAAGTATCGTTGTAAATTCATGTTTATTCATTGTGAGAATCATTATGGTTATCATCTCATACTTATCGACATAAGTTATAAATTTGCAGGAACTCATTGTTATTTAACGTATTGATTGTCACGAAATATAAATACTGTTGTTGAACAAGACTCGTTAATTACATCTATTTCTATCAGTATCACAACAGTAGGGTAGCATTTAACACACAGATATCAGATGTTAAATAATGAGATAATCTTTATTTACAATAGAACTTACGGTAAGAATATATTTTTCTAGTCACTTAGAGCTTCTGGATGAAATCAGAATTTGATTTATTCTCTTTTCTCGACTCCATATTCCATCTCAGAAACGTATTGTTCCATCGCCCGCTCGTATGCTTTATCTTCTAATAATTCTTCCTATCAATTAAAGATATTCTTAGTATTATTAAAAAATTAATTTAATCGATAGATTGAATAATTTACCTTTTTTATCGTTTGGTACATGGATAGAAAGTTCTGCGTTGCAGATTTTACATTTTCGTTTGCCAAATTAGTAGCTGGTATAAATTTCTGATCTTTATGAAACCTTCTGTAACAGAAAACATATTTACATATTATAATATAAATATTTTAAACATATTAAGATGTCTTACGATCGAATAAGATCCTCTTCATAAAAGATAGGTGTAACTGGTTTCTTTGGCAGCTGTCTGTCGAATCTCGGTTCGTATTTCGGAGGAAAAGCTTCATATACTACCAACCATAACGGCATGTCTTCCTCTTTTATAGCTTTGCCTTTTAATAATGAAGCAATTCTGAAATATATTCCATTATATAGAATGTATAGGCATTATTAAAAAATGCTATTCATTTTTAAAGATCATTCATTTTTAAAGTATAAGAATCTAGATATGATGAAAAGTACAAACATAATAAAAAATATAGACAATAAGAAGTAGAGGAATAAGGAATAATACACAATAGATTTTAAGCTATCAGAAACTGTATACCAATGTATAGCGATTTTTGGCAGATTTATCATGTTCCCTATTTCATGGGCATACATTTGAAATATTTTTATTTAAGACACATTATTTGCAATACAAGTATATTTTATATTTTGTATTTAAAATGGAAAGTATTTTGAATGGAGCATATGAAAGTATTATGTATTTTGTATTTAAAATGGAAAGATTAAAAGCTTTTGTATTTTATAATTCAAATAATAAAATTGTCAATCTTAGTATTCAAAATACAAAATACAAAATACTTTCAATCTTTTGTTATTAATGCTGAGATACAAAATACTTTTATATGCTTTCATGAAATACAAAATATATTTTCAAGTGCTCTGCCGAAATATAAAATACAAAAATATTGTCTTATAAATACTGTTTTCAAATAAAGACTTTTCAAATACATGCCCTACCCTATTTATATTGTATTTCTATTAACTGTGTTTTTCATTGTGTCCTAAGACCACTAACACTTGTAGATTTAAGTTCTAAAGAGAAGTGCTAAAGAGGAAACTTGTAAAACTTAAGTTCTAAAGATGATGTGATGCATAAACAATTTAATATCAAGATAATATCTCTAATTAAAATAAAAAAATAAAATGTTGATTTCTCTGCAGTTTCTTAACAACTGCCAGTTTAATTTCTAAAATAATTTTGAATGTGGACTCACCTGGTATATATAGTGCCAATTTTTTCTAGTCTGCTTTGTGCCATCGTGTATTTCTCTGATGAACAGATTCAAAACAAAATCAAGGGTCAACCCGCTTAACTTTGCAAACTGAACATTCACAATCTAAAACATAACCTTTCAAGCATACCGTCAAAACATATTGCCATTTTTAAAACGTTACAGCCCGAGAAACCTGATAGCAAATTCCCTAGAAATTACACGTGGAACGACTGGGGTTTTTTCAGCGCAACGATTTAGCTTGCATATGTTTTCCCGCGTAAATGGCAGAGGTGGCTTGGAGTGGCTTCTCTTTCAAAGGGTTTCGGTTTTCCTAAGTATTTATTGAGAATTTACAGCGCGATAAGTATCCATTGTCCACCACAAAAATGGATACGGAATTCGATCAGAATCTAGAGCAGATAACGCGCGAATATGTTGACTTTCTGGACGATGTGGTAAGTATCGTCAAAATTTGTTGTTTAATTTGTGTTTACTTGGCTACAATTTTTAATTGTATTTTAATCTTCTGTAATAAATTTTTTTACTTATGGAAAAAATATGTAGTGTGATAAATGAAAAATAATTAATAAATCCCTATAAGAAATAATATAAGTACTTAGATAAATACATAACTTTATCCTTACTTACAAGTCACATGGCATTATTAAAAGATTAAATGTCACATTATTATACTAAGATGATGTTTGCTCTTGCTTGATATTTTTATGAAATCCTTGTGCTCGTTATTTTTGTAGGAAGACCAAAGCATATATGCCACTATGGTTAAGAATATGATGCAGGAAGATAAAAACAGATTAGTCGTAAACATCAATGATTTAAGAAGAAAAAATCCTGCCCGTACAGCAAGGTATATAATAGATTTGTCTCTTTAGCTCTTACCAATATACAACATGAATAAATTATGTAAACTGTGAAATATTAAGGGTAATTATAAGAGTCAATTATGTTGCAGTTTGTTGAATAATTCCTTCGAGGAGCAACTGGCATTTCAGAATGCTCTGAAACAATATATCTCAAGCATAGACACTGATTATGCCAAGAGCAACAAAGAGTTCTTCGTAGCTTTTGAAGGTAGCTTTGGAAACAAGCATGTCACACCGAGAACACTTACTTCTCGTTTCCTGGGTAACTTGGTATGTGTAGAGGGTATCGTCACAAAATGTAAGTAGTAGAGAAAAGTAAAGAATTTAATTTCTACATAGAATTATAGAATTCTCTGATTGTAAGTCTGAGCATATAATCTTGTATTAATAGATTTATTTAATTTATTCGTGTTACATTTGTCAAGTTTTATGAAAAATTTATATTTATGAGAATAACATCACATTAATGAAATAAAGATACTGAAAAAGCGAATTTAATTTTTGCTCAGACTTATTTATAGAATTTATTGGATTCTATTTATAATTCTTCTTTAATAGATTGATTTGTGTGTTAAATTTGTCGAGTTTTATGAAATTTATATTTATAAGAATAACATTTTTTAAATAACAATGTTTATCGTAGGTTCATTAGTACGACCGAAAGTTGTAAGGAGCGTCCATTACTGTGATGTGACCAGAACAGTCCTGGAAAGAGCCTATTCAGATCTAACTTCCTTGGAAGCATTTCCCCACTCTGCTATCTATCCAACTACTGTAATTATTCCTGCCATTTAAATGAAATGTAAAGAAATATTTGCTTTTAGTTTGAAGATTCATTTTTCTGTGTAACAGGATGAAGCTGGCAATCCGCTTGAAACGGAATTTGGTTTGTCAACTTACAAGGATCATCAGACACTCACTATACAGGAGATGCCGGAAAAAGCTCCAGCCGGTCAATTACCACGAAGCGTGGATATAATTTGTGATAATGATTTAGTGGACTTATGCAAACCTGGAGATCGAGTGCAGATTGTTGGAAACTACCGATGTCTGCCGGGAAAACAAGGCGGATATACAACCGGAACTTTCAAGTATGTTTCAGATAAAAATCGAGAATTGTTTCCCGATTAAAAGTCTCCGAGTTTAAAGTCTCATAATCCGTATATGTATCTTGAAACTCACCGCAATAATTATCATTATGTAGGACGGTTCTAATCGCTAACAATATAATGCAATTGAGTAAGGAAGCTAATCTTGCGATCACCCATGACGACGTAACTATGTGCAAGAAATTGGCTAAGAACAACCCTTGCAAGAATATCTTCGAGCTTCTCGCCAAGTCCCTTGCGCCATCCATACATGGCAATGAATATATAAAAAAAGCGATTCTGTGCCTCCTTTTGGGTGGAGTGGAGAAAATTTTACCAAACGGTACGAGATTGCGAGGGTAAGCTTTTGCACATTGCAGTGTTCACTAATGATAATTGTATAATAATATAATCGGATCTTTTTGATATATGCCAGAGACATAAATGTGTTACTAATTGGAGATCCATCAGTGGCCAAGTCGCAACTACTACGTTATGTGTTGTGCACTGCTCCACGAGCAATTCCAACTACTGGAAGAGGATCTTCCGGCGTTGGTTTAACGGCGGCGGTTACAGTCGATCAAGAGACTGGCGAACGCAGACTGGAGGCAGGCGCAATGGTCTTGGCGGACCGCGGTGTCATTTGCATCGACGAATTTGATAAGATGTCAGATATTGATAGGACGGCGATACATGAAGTGATGGAACAGGGAAGAATTACGATAGCCAAGGCGGGAATTCACGCCAGCCTAAATGCGCGCTGTTCGGTACTGGCGGCCGCGAATCCTGTGTATGGGAGAGTAAGTTCGGATCGTTTTGAAAAAGCTATTTGTACCTGATTTTGTTTAATGACAAAATTTAAACTTATACATTTCTATAATTTATGAAAAATAAGTTTGAATTGGATTCGCCTTTTAGCACAAATATTTCTATATTAAAAATTATATATAATTACTCACATAAAATAATATTTAATAAATAGATTAATATATTAATTATTAAGTTGATTTTAAGAAATATATGAATATTATTTAATGAAAGCTCTCCCCACATTTTCAGTATGATCAGTATAAAACTCCCATGGAGAATATCGGCCTGCAAGATTCTCTATTATCGCGTTTCGATTTGCTCTTTGTTGTGCTGGACATAATTGATTCGGATCAGGATCATATAATTAGCGATCACGTCGTCCGAATGCATCGATATAGGAGTCCTCTGGAACAGGATGGGGAAGCTCTGAGCTTGGGCTCAAAGTTGGATATGTTGACTACGAAAAATCCAGATGATGTAGCTACCGAAGAGACCCAGTCGCAAGTTTATCAGAAATACGATCCACTTTTACACGGGCAAACGCGTTCTAAAAAGTAATCCACTTTTATCATACTATTTTGTTACATTGAATCTACGAGCTTTGGTTCAATTGATCTTATAACAATACGAAGCTCTAATTATGTAGATTTTATACTTAGAAAAAAAGAAACTTATATTTTGAATTTCTTTCTCAGCGATCAGATCCTCACCATACAATTCATGAGAAAATACATACACATTGCACGATGCATGAAACCTAAACTCACGGAAGAAGCCAGCACCGTTATTGCAGAGGAATACTCGAGACTTCGATCGGAGGATATGGTGGAGTCCGATGTTGCAAGGGTGAGTAGAAGAAAAACTCCAGACTTAAATTTTAAAAATATACAGATGCATATCTGACATTTTTTTCGAATAATCAGACTCAACCGGTGACTGCGAGAACTCTGGAAACGCTGATTCGGTTGTCCACGGCGCACGCGAAAGCACGACTCTCGAAAAACGTGGAAAGCGAGGATGCACGCGCTGCAATAGAGCTCGTACAGTTCGCTTACTTCAAACGGGTGCTGGAGAAAGAAAAGAGAAAGCGGCGACGTCATGATAGCGACACGTCGGAGGCTGCAGACGAGATAGAGGAGAACAAGCAGGCGAAGCGCTCTAAAAGGGCGAAAAGGACAGATTCGGGTGAAGTCGATCCATACGAATACGATAGTGACGAATATATTGAACAAACAACAAGAATAACCAGGTCACAAAAAACCAGCACGCACACGGAGTCGCATAGCACGGAAACCGAACATCCGGAATCTTCCGTTTCCGAAACACCCACCGTTCCTCAAACAGCGACTGCGACAATCACGCAGAAAAGGTAATTTGCTGTTAAATTAATTATGCTTTATAAATTAATAGAATCATTAATTAAATAGTTATATAAATTTTATTTATATAATTATTACGTAATGACAAAATTAATATAATCGTTAATTAAATGACTTTCCCTCGCGTGACTTTCTTTACGCCTTAAATTTTCAACATGTTATTTTTATATTTTTATTTTGTTACGTGCCTGTTAAAACAAAAAATAATGAAAGTTGCAGAGAAAGTATATTAATTTCTTTCTAATTTTAGACTTGCGGTCTTCAAATCGTCACTTAACAAATTGTTCCAAGAACGCAGGGTTCAGAATATTCCGAAGACAGAAGTCATCGATTATCTAAACACAACACTTTCTCTGAACTTCACATCCGATGAAATTAATGCCGCTATTAACACTATGACGGATGCAAATCAGATTATGGCGGTGGAAGATCTTATCTTCTTGATATAAAACGTTTTTATAATGTTTTTACGTTTTAAAAAATAACCGAAGCAAGTGATATTTTTAGACTATTTATCAAGTAAGATAAAATTCCTAATCACTCGCTATAATTGATTAGATATGAGAAACAAGAAATCATTCATTATAAGTACAATGAATGATTAATTTTTTGTTATAATTTATGCGAGTCTTCTGGACAAATATTTTTTTATACCGTTTATAATTATTGCTAGGAATCAAATAATAATATGTTTATGAATAATGATATCTAATAACATTTATTTGTCCTATACTCGATAAGACAATACATTGGCACATAAACTAGCAACAATCATCAACATTCATTACAGTAAACGTAATGCGGCTCAAAACGTTAAATCCGTTTTCCGCTTCTGTAAATATATGTGTATGCATAACATTCATCGTGCGTGTGTGCGTATGCGTATTATTGCGCTAACATCGATCGCGTTTCACTAAAGGTTCGTTTCATAAATTTACTTGCGACCTACTCGCACATCGTCTCGTTACAAAAACTTACGACAGTCGTATATTTAATATAAATGCTCCATTTATCTCTTGTATGTTCAACATACACAATATAGAGAGCCGACGCAATCGCGTTTCAAAATAAATTATGCCCTCCGCTAAATAATTCTCCTGATTGCACAACCCTCCTGTTCAGTAAAGCGACACCCGTAACAGCGTTACTATATTAATTAATTAACAGAGATAATAACATCAACGGTCATGCTAAAACTTTTATAACTGTCAATATCAAATTAATCGCGTAGATCTATAATACAGATCTTCGGGACGTATTCTTGTTGTAAGGAGGAAAGAATCGACGATCTGCAATGTCCTAACATTTTCGTTTCTTTTTTTTTCCAGATAGAATAGTACCCTTTTCACGACAAAAATATCTACGATGAATCCTATGCTAATTGTACTCACAGTTGCCCTTAATAACATCATAATCGACTTTAGCTACTAATTCTCACAATGATCAACTTCGTGTCGTACAAAATTTATTACATACAATTATAATTATCTCGAGACATTTTAAAACTAGCTGATAATGCATGAATGATAATACGCGAATGATGTACGAAAAAATTCTTCAAAACACATATCGAAATCTTTTAACAAACTGATATTTCAAGGATTCAAGCATTTTTATATGAGTGATTTGACATACGGCAGTGATGTTCCGAATTCGATACGAAATGTCGCGAGTATGTGTTTCGATAATTATAATTCTTTCTCTCTCTCTCTCTCTCTCTCTCTCTCTCTCTCTTCCGGTAGGAAATCGATTCTTCTAACACGATGAGCTTCGATGGAACGAAAGATTTGAACGTTTTTGTTCACTCTATGCACACTGTCTTGGACGTAGTAAAATATTAATATGGCGGTGTGACGAATTGCGATCGGAGCTCAACGCATTAAAGTTCCTCGAGTTTGGGCGAGTGATTAAAATTATTAGGCACATACCACATTTCTCCTTGGATCTTCATCCTCACTGAATTACAAAATTCGTAGATTAAGAATTCGTCTTTACAATTGCTAAAAGTAGGAATCCTCAGTTCACAATCTGTTAGGATTGTAATTTACGTCCATGATTTTGAAAAGTTCAGAGTTCGTCCTCGCTGGACTCGCTGCTATAAGCCAATTGTTCCTTCCACCATTCTCGAACTTCCAGCATGACGCTAGAAACTTTAGGCGCGGTTGCTTTGTTGTTCAACGCCTCCCTCGCCTGCCTGCTTTGCTCCGTATTTTCCGTCAAATGATGCAAATTATTTTTCACCATTGCTACAAAAAATAATCCGAAATAATTCTACGCCAAAGATAATTAATATGATACATTGTACGCCAAGTATAGTAAATTGAAAGCCAAGTGATTATTTCGGCTTACCTGGCGGTCTGCTATTTCTCTTCTTCGATGCTGCGATTTTATCCTTCTCGGATCGAACGGATGCTGGATCCGATAAAGTTGGTGCTAGGTATTTTCTTCCCGAAGCACTTCCTATGCTGTCCGATCTTGGAAGCACTATCGGTTTCTTGGCCCTGTATTTTGGAGCTTCGACGTCCTAATAGTTAAAAACAAGATAAACTTTTTTCATCAAATTATATAATTTTTGTTACTTTTTTGAAATCATAGTGAAATCATGGTACAAATTTTAATTTTCATAAATATAGAAGTTGATATACTTAACAATTTTTTTAAAATGTTACTATTGGATATCGTTGATTTGTGATATAAAAATATCAATTCACATTTTTCTACAAGAAATGCTTGGAATATAATAAAGCAAATAAAGTGCGAAATAAGACGCACTTTTATTTCAGTCTCCTCTTCACGATCAACACTAACTTCTTTGCCTTTCTCCTCTTTACCCTTCTCTATATCTTGAGGTGGCACAGCCGCGTTATTTGTAGCGCGAAGACCGGCAATAAGACTGTTTTGTTTCTGCAAAGAAAAAAAATTATTTCCTTAATACGATTTCAGATAAGTCATCCTCACCGCTCGTATCTTCTTCAGGCAGCCCTGTAACCAAGTTCTGATGGTTTGCTTAGCCACTTCCTCCTCGATTATATACTCGAATTCTTCCCGTGCGAGAAGTTCTTCCAATTGGAGCGCTTTTCTTATATCCACTGAGCGATACGATAACATACTAAAAAATTTTAATTAAGAAAACATTGTAATATATTCGAATATTGTAAAATATAAGTGAAAAATTCACGAATTGAAATATTTAAAACATCTAATAAAGAAGAAACTACATCCTATAGAAGATCTGAGAAAATCTCAAATATCTAAAAATTTTATTTAACAAGCTATAAATGTTTAATATTTAAAATCCATATTGTGAAACTTACTTAATAACGTCGTGAAAGGTAACATCTTCGCCATTGTGCAATCGTTCGAGTTCGTAGCACATGTATTTGAAAAGCAGGCGATCCTTTTGTGGATCGGTCTCCAATCTACCTTTCAACAATCGCAAGATAAACTTCACCTGAAATCCGCAAACATCAGCATTTGCTTCTTAAGAATTATATTATTTTATTAATATAACACGGATTCGCGATAAAATCATACCCGCTTCACCGGTATAACACCTTTCTGATGATTATCAACGACATTCCACGTGTTCTGAAAGTTTCTTATGTCTGCGTACGATAATAACGCGTCTTCTTCATTTGAATAGAATAAAGAAAAGTTCTCCATAATAATAGCTGTTCGAAAAGAAAAAATTTCAATCTTTGTTTTATTCCCTTTAAATTACTCTGTAGACATCTAATTAAAAAAAAAAAATATATATATATATATATATATATTATTAAACAGAAAAATTAGATTGAAGCCACTATATAATAGAATATTTTCTGTTAAACAATCTCCTTTTTTGTCTGATCTAAGACAAGAGAAGAAATATAGCTGTGATTTTTTAAAATCTAATCAACGTGATTTTGTGTAAGCTTCTTTGATGTATGTACAAGTATATTGCATACATACCCACTAAAAGATTCAAGACGATGTAAGTAATGATGACGTAAAAAGTGCAAAAATAAATTAGAGAAGCGTGGAAATTGCCGCAGTCCGTTTCCCAGTAATTATCCGCCGGCGTGCAATAGGGTGGTTGTATCATGCAGTCGTGCATAATTTTGTTCCAATCCTCCCCCGTCACTATGCGAAAGAGCATCGCCACGCCGGTAACCGGTGATTCGAAATTAGCGCGTCTAAATTGCAAAGAGATTATTTCTGATATATCAAGCGAAAGCAGAGCAAGATAAAGAAATATTATAATAGAGCGAAAAAGAATTCAATATTAGAAAGATTATATTGGAAGATTTATATTAAATATTGCGCGTATATTTTATATCTTAAAATCTCGTAGACAGTATATACTTTTCTTACCTTCCTATACCTTCTCCGTACTTCACCGTGCCAAAGATTATAGTGCCGGCTAACGCGTAGAAGAAAACAAGAAGAAACATGCCGAATATGATGAAGAAACTCTTGCAGACGGACACACCAACCGTCAACATTAGCATTTTGAGAGTGGTGTGTTTACCGGTAATGGTGAAGAACCTCAAGATTACGACCATAAATCCAATTACGTAAGACAGATCGTTCTGAGATCAATATAATAAAACATGATAATATGAAAATGAACGACGATAGACAAAGAAAAAATACGACGAAGGATTCTTGACGACGAGCGTACCTGCATAGTGCAGTGTATGATGATCCAGATAACGCCTACAACTGTCACAAGTAGATCATACCTGTTTCTCCTGGATTGCCAATAACCACGCGGTGTAAAAGCAATGTTTTTCATAATTACTTCCACAAGGAACACCAGTGTCAGAATCGTGGAGACCATAGCCAGAGCTTCTGTGTGTTCCTCTTCGAGTCTCCACTTCAGATGAGCAGGATAAAAAAGGAGGAAAGATAGCAGATTAAACACGAGCAGGCTCGTGTATATAGGCTGTTATATTTATTTTTACTGGTTTAATGATGGCTGGCAAGAAGCAAATGATTCAAGAAAAATTTTCTTACGATATTCGTTGAAATTGCATATTTCTTTTAATATGGATCAAATACTTGATTCTAGCAATGTTAATAAATCCGTAAAAAAACTAAATAGAATGTCAAGCTAGTCTATAAAACTATTTTTCCTAATTTTGTGATTAATCTTGCGTTATATCCGCTATATAACGCGTAAGAATTATGATTTAGCACAATTTTACACAATTCCAAGCAATACACTTATTATAATTAATAATATTCCTAAAATTAATACATATTTTTGTAATTCAATTATCAAGGAAATAATCGGCCTTGAAAAATATCTATCGAATCTCACGTATCTCTGTATCCGAATATTACTTTGTTCAACTCACGGAAACGCACAGAAGAGCGCTGTTCACAAGTACCATGACAGCAATAAATCTTTTGAAATAAATGTTCTGCGTGATATCGTAGATAAAAGCACGGAACTTCTTGCCGTCCGGTCTAGGCGGTAAGTGCAGCGGCTGAGCGATCTTCAGACGCTTCTTCAAGTCGCACCTATATCCCAAGAAAAAAAAAACTCGTAATCTAGAGATCGCGATATTTACTGATGAAATATACGACATCTCACCATCGTCTTTGATCGACCGTGAGCAAAGCAGTGCCTTTGTTCTCAGAGTAATTCGCGATCACCACACCCACGAATAATGTTAAGCCGATCATGCAACCGAGGAAAATATAAACGTGTATATAGATAGCGTGAGCCTAAAAAAAGATACAATAAGATAGAAGAATATGACGAAGAAATAATATTCTTATTCAATTTCAAATTTTGTAATTTTTGTGATTAGTGATTAGATCATCTATATTAAACAACATAATCTGTTATTCTGTCAAAAAAATAATGACTCACGGGACCAAGAGCTTTAATAAGGACATCCCGTACGTCAAGCCAGCCTTTGAAAGAAAGTACTTCAAATAGAGCCATCATAGCATCACCAATATTATCAAAGTTGAATCTTTTAGGATTAGCCCTAAAAAATGTGTACAAAATAAGCGTATTTTCTTACATTAGTTCATTATAATTAATCTAAATTAAAGGAAATGTAAATGAGTAAAATTCCTAGAATTGCACGATTTACGCATACCAAACACGCGGTACTAATATGGACGGATAACTCTCGTTTTCCCCTGGCCGCAGTTTCATCTTCGTCACGAACACTCTTCTCATAAATACTCCGACGCATTCCTCGCGCTTCAAGATCGTGGGATCGTTACATCTCGCTAATCGACCGCCATATAGTTGCACTCCGTAACTCGCGAACATGAACATCAACAAGAACAATAATGTTGATACCTGAATGAAGTAATATTTGTCTGTTAATTTGTTTCATTACGTTCACATCATTTTCAGATTAATTATTTCTAGAAGTAATATGTGAAGCAAGAATGATATTTACCAACAAAATTTCCTTGAACCCTCTGCACAGTTCGTAAACGACCTTCCTCATATGCGGAACAAGAGTGAAAATTCTTAGCGGTCTGACGCACCGTAATATCATCAGCAATTGCGCTCCAGAATTCGGCGGCACGCTTTTTGGCATCCAACATAAGAATATGAGACTTACCTGCGACAATGTGCATACAATATTATATATTATATTAGGTGTAGTAAAAAGAAATCCATTATTTTTCCAATAGATTAAAGCCATCTATTGGAAAAATAATGGATTTCTTTTTACTACACCTAATATATACTAAGAACTATTTATGATTTATCACATATAATTATTGTCATTTCATTAAGATTAAAAGAAATATTTCCCAATAGAATTTAATATTTCCAATATACTAAACATACAATGTAAATGAAGACATCTAACACAGAGGCAACGTCTTTGATGTAGGCCTTGGGTGTAAAGAACAGACCATCCGCCAGGATTTTTAACGCTAGTTCAATGCTCATACAAATAACGAAACAGTATTCGGTGATCTGCAACGCCGGCGTCTCCATTACACGCTTTCGTGGTGTCTCGAACATCATCGAGATGCACGACAACGTTGTGATGAATATCATTACCCAATCGAGATAGGTCACTAAACCAAGGAAATTGCTGGAAGAGATATAGAATTTATCAACTTGGCTTCTTTGCTTCACGACGACGGGATAATATGTTTCAATCTCGCGATGCTTACTGTAGACTCTTGTATTGCACTTTCCTTTCCTTGCCTGTTAAAGGATCTTTCAATCTCGCGTCGTACCTCGCGTAGACGAATAACTGGCAATATTTCCGGAATTTGCTTTCGCGAGGTACCGCAAACAACGGCGTATCGAAGAATGGATGGTTCTCTCGCAAATCATCTTCGCGTTGGTTTCTGGAATGAAAGAATAGATTATGTAAGATTATGAAAATCTTAAAAATTTCAGAAATAATTTCGGTACCTTCGCATCTCCGCCTGTTGCCTCTTAGCTTGTAGCAACTTGATATCTAAATCGTGCGGCCTTCTGCTCGATGAACTAACTCTGTTTATTCCTCCTATATCACCGTTTTCCATAAGATGCTCGTACGTCTGTTTTAATTTGATCGATCCACTTCGGACGCTTCTTCTGATTGATCTATTTTTTGTTATGCCAATGGAAAACATAGATAAATAAACGTAAAAACATAAAATATCTTCGTACTACATACTACACTTAAAGAATACCAGAATTCAATCGATGATAATTAATAGAGTAATAATAGTAATAACTTAGAAAAAATTTTATATGTAATTTAAAAAAATTGTTATTAAATCTGTAAATTGTTCCATTAAAAAAATTTTCAAATTTATAAATCTAAATTCTCGTTACTCATTTTATTAACATTTCTATTATCTTATATATTCTTGTTCTTACTTTTTCGGATCGATGCGAAGTTGCTTAGTGCCACTCACGGTACCTTGCGGTTTTAGAAGTCCTTTTCCTGGTACTGGAATCATGGCGGAGTCTCCCAAGAGAAGCCTCTGATTATTGGAATCACTAGAACGACTTAAATCTTTAAGTTGAAAATTTCAAGAAATATAATAACAAATGATATTTTACTTACTTTATGATATAAATAACAGAAGCTTTCTTTAAATTAGTAACGACACTTCTCACCTTCGGTGGATTATTTAAAATTTTCACCGGGCGTTGTTTTCTATACACAATTTTTGAATCAAAGGTTTCATTAATTCTCTTTACACCTTCATTTTCTTCGTCCTCCACTTCAAGTACAAATTGTCGCATAAAGCTCTCGCGCACCTTAAAAAAGATAATTCGAATATTAATTCAATCCATTGAATAACAAAGCGAAATAGATTGTTTTATAATCTTGAGCCTGAGTAAGATGTTAAAATTCTTCAACAAAATTAAAACTATTCTAAATTTAATATCTAAAGAATAAACCAAGGAGTTAATAATAATTATGAATATTTACCTTCGGTAAATTAAAATCTGATGGCACTTTGTGAAGACACGTCATCTGCGGACTGTCTGGAAATTTTTCAAAGATTCTCAATCTGAATGGTAAACTTTCCTTTATTTCGGCACTTTGTTCGCGAAATTTCAATTGCTTCAGTTTCTTAATGTCCTCATCCAATTCGAGATTGTCAAGAATTACCGCGACGAAAAGACTTAGCACGATCTGAAGAGATAATTCAGCATTAGTTCATATCATAACTTGAATTGCATAAAGGAGATATTGATGATTACCAATGTGACAAAGAGATGATACAAAATGAAGTATACTGCGATAAACGGTGCTATGCCTTCATGCGTTCGTAACATAGTTTCATCCATCACATCGACCCAGGCTTCTTGTGTGAAAATTTGGAACATAGACATAAATGCCTGAAAATTTACATTTTGATGAGTTAAGTCACAACAATCGTGTAATGTAGGATTTGTTAAAGTATAATCGGCTCACTTCAGGAAAAGTTTCGAACTTGGTGAAGTCGCAAAGAAAACAGAAGAGCTGCATAGAAATACTTGAGGATATCACCAGCAGGCACATAGTAAAAATGATGAGACTACCGAGCTTCTTGCCAGGGCCGAAAATTTTGTAAACAAAGTCCTCCAGCATTGGCGATGCTTTAATGAGCCGAACTATTCTGAGAACCTTCCCATATAAAAATACCATAATAAATTAAAGATTTTTTATATTGTTTGAATGTTTGAATTTTTAGAAGTATAAAAGATCAATACAGCTAAGAATATAAAAAATATAAACAACAAGTCGGAAAAAGTATAGACTGTAGAAAAAATGCAAAAGTGAAGCGAAAGACGAGGAGTTAGATAAAGATAGAAACCTGAAAGAAAGTGAATCCAGAGAGATACAAGAACGGAATAATATGTAAAGTCGTGCCAATGGCAAGCAGCAGTTCGAATTTGTGAATCGAATGCTTAAAATAACTCCGGAAACCCAGGCACCATATCTTGAAGAGGGTCTCTAAGTCCAGCAATATCGTGAAGACGATCTCGGCCCAGTAATAATTGTCATAGTATGTTTGCCTCGGTTTGTCATCATGCTTGAAACTCATTGTCGCAGTGGTGATGCCATTCGCTAGAATTGCGCACATTATAACTGAACGAAAATGCGGTGATTTGAGAATAGTATGACAAAGCGGAGAGGCTAGGCCCCCATGTTTATTCTCGTCTAATGTCACTAATTTCCAGCCATTGTCGTCTCCAGTCAATATCTGCATTAAATAAAATAAATATATACATCAATTATCAATAAAATCATATAATTATATTCGCTTAAAATTAATTTTAAATAATAATATTCCTGTATATTTTTAATGAGAATACTTTAATAAAATAGAGTAAAGGCTGTTTCTTCAAAGATATCTTTGGTAAAACTGACCTGCGATGCCGAACTGTTGCTAATATGACCTCTAACGCCCCACATTTGTTGGAACTGTACTCGGATTTCGTTAAAAGTCTCCGTAATGACAGCAATGAAAACATTCTTCACTAACCAGGCCAAGAAGAATATCATTGTGCTGAAGTAAAGAACTGCGCGCCATGCCGGTAGACTATCGATCGCGCGATACATGATAAAGACCCATCCTTCCTGAGAAGCCGCTTGATATACGGTGAAGATACTGGTAGCTAAATAATTCAAATTCAGAATCAAATTTCCAGACAATAAGATATTTTTAAATACTTAACAATATTTGAATACTACTTTAACTAATAAATAATGTTAAAATTATTAAATCTTTACATTAAAAAAATACTTATATGCGGTGTATAAAAGTCGACAAAATTTCGATAAATTGCATTGGATAAATTATAATTTGTAATCTTATTACTATCTTTGAAGCTGTTATAATTATTATCACATAAGAATATAGAATGTGAAATACAGAAAATATAAGCGATGTATAAGAAAGATAAAATCATAAAGTTGTAACAAATTCGTTCCAGTTAACAAATATGTAACAAATTAGTTAGCTTTACATATTCTTAGAAAAATAATATGAAGTAAAGTAAATATATATGAAAGCCAATAAATATAGAAGAATGACAAGAGCATAATAATATTAACATTAACTACTACCAAACTCGTCAAATCCATTGAAGCCTATAATATACTTGGTCAACTCCAGCTTCATGCAGACCATTCCTTCGGGGCATTGATATCCAGATTCTGGATCGGTGGAGCAGAACGTGTCAGGAATAGCCAAGCTGTTGATCGTAATGTAATTAGGTTCAGTTGTGTTCAGCACGCAATGATTTTTTAGTTCGCCGAAGAATTGTACACCCAAAAGACCATAAAGAGACATGAAGAACAGGAAGAAAAGTGTTACATTGTAGATCTGCTGACTCGAGCGTCTAAATATAAATCATATATATTATTAGTAAACTAAATAAATTAAATAAAATTAATAATTGTAGTATATGATAGTATCTTGTGATATCTTATTCTTATTTCGTTTTAAATATAAGTCTTTCATATCAATTTTACATCAATATCCTTACTTGAAGATCTGATTGATTCTGGCTCTGGGCATCGAAAATTTAAGGAAGACTCGAAGGAAGCGTATCATGATCAGCGGCCGTGGTGACCGCGCTATCGAGGCGTAACTAAATTTTATGAAACCCAGCATCTCAAACATTTGCAGAATTACAGATAACCAGAGAAAGATCACCATAAACCCATCAAATTGGCACCAGTGGTCTTTCAGATAAGACTTATCCCTCTGCAATGCCATTTATAATTTCATTCTAGTCTATGTCAAATGTGTTGTTATAAGTGCGTACAAATTTTATTCGCCATTTCATAATGTTGTTGGTGTCATAATAATAAAACTTTTAATTATTTCTCAAAGTAATCAAGTATCTCAATTGTATCTTCTTTGATAAAGAGGGACTTTACCTTTAATATTCCCCGTATGTGCATCTTAGCGATCATCTCGGCAGTGAACAGAAACGTGACTATCAAATCGCAAATGAAGGTAACATATTGAAGGGACGGTACTTTCTCAAAAGTTTTTGGAGTATTCAAACAAACGGAAGCCAACGAGACTAGGGCGCAAAGTCGCATCAACCGTCTTACCCATAACTGAAATCACATAAAGCGGTTTTCAGGAAAGATCTGATTGTGAGAAAAGGAAAACGACATTTTCGATTTTTGCAATTTTCTTCCCTGGGTCAATTTATACTTCCGCTCACCTTGTTGACCCATTCTATGTCAGCGCTCTCATTGAGGGACTCTTCTGGACCGTAATCGGCCAGGACGGGTTCCCCCTTGAGGCTCTGCTTCCGCCCCAGCATCATAATAGGGATTATATTCGCAATGGTGAGGCCTGGAAGTAGCGGAAAAATTATTGAAATTGTGTCATTAATAAAAACGATTATTAGAAATTAAATTGTTATTTAACAAGATAAGTATGTGATACATACTTATCTTGTTACTAATAATCACGTTTGCTTTCAATGTTCATCTTTTTATACATTCTATCCACTATTTTAAAATATATGTATTAGATTAATATATATATATATAATATAAATAATTTATTAATATATATTTTAATTTCCAGTAACATATACTTTAAATAGTTCAATAAAGCTTAAAGGATAGCTAATTTACGAAAATCGGTGTTGTTCGAAAAAGATAACTCTAAGGGATATTTTATTGTTAAGGAATTTACCTTTCTTTTAGCTGTTCACGAAATGACGGACACTGCCTTTACGGCAATTTCTATAGACTACATCTCGATATAAAGCAACGATAAAGCTCAACATGTAATAAACATCTCAGAGATAATAACAAGCTGGCAATGTCGCGGTGAACATGTTTCGGCCGTGTCGCCAGCACGGCCGAAATTCTGAGCAAATGGGCATGAGCAGTGTGCACTCTTCACGGTCTCCACCTTCTGTGAGAAAATCAATATTTCACTATTCTAAAGGGCGCGAATTTCCAGAAATCGTGATTTTTTTATAGTTGCCCATTTGTCCTGTTTAAAAATATTCGTCTTTAATTAAAATAATAAATCAATCCTTTTATCATCGTTAAATTAATAGATGTTATCAGTAACAGTTTGACAGAACATTGATTTTTTTTAAAACACAATTTTCATATATAATTTTCAGCAGACCCAAAGTTCTAACTAAACATATAACTAATATAATATAAAGTTATGTATTGTACAACTAGTATAACATAACAAAAATTAAATTATTATAATAAATTACTTGAAAGGATTAAGTAAAAAGAGGGAGAAAACGGGAAGATTTTTCCTCTCTTTTATTTATATACAGAATACGAACTTATAGATAATATTATTTAATCTCTTTAATTAATAATTTAATAAAGTAGTTTATTAATAGAAAAATACAGTCATTTGTTATGTTCATTTCTTTATTTATTCTTATTCTGTATTTTTATAATATATAAATATATCTTTCTTTTTTTGTTCTTTCATTTACTCACGTGAAGCTAAAAGTTAATGTAATTAGTTTCATCATTTAAACTGATAAAATGTGATTAAATGCATTGCAATTATGATTCAGATCTCTGCGAGGATTATTTTATGCATTTTCATCTGCAGCAGCCATCAGTTTCGAAAATTCGGAATCTGGATGAGAGAGAAGTGTGGCAGGTGCACCGAATTCAACAATCTTGCCCTCATTCATGACAAGAATGCGATTACATGCAACAACAGTTTGTAATCTATGAGCGATCGTAAGTACAGTGCAATCCGCGAACTCGTTCTGCAGCGTGTTCTGCACTGTTGCTTCAGTTTCCGGATCAACGGCGGCCGTGGCTTCATCCAGAATCAGTATCTACAACACATATGCGTGTAACATGTTAATATTAATTCTAGTATTCTAAAAAGAATCTGGAAATCAATTTTAAATATATGTAATATTGCAAAAATCATTCAATAAAAGTGCATTACTTTTGTACTATGTAATAAAGCTCTTGCCAGACAAAGAAGTTGTCTCTCGCCAACGCTCAAATTATTTCCGCCAAATCCAACAGACGCATCGAGATTTCCCGGCATTAGAGACACCTTTTCTTTCATCTGAGTCTTTTCAAGAACATTCCAAATATCATGATCGGCGTGATGTTGGAAAGGATCCAAATTAGATCTAAAAAAAACGAATCAAATGAAGAGAACAGCTAGCAAAAATTGCCAATTAAATTTATTACCTTATAGTGCCGCTGAATAAAATTGGATCTTGAGGAATAATTGACAATTTATTTCTCAGTATATCTAATTCTAATTTCGAAATATCTATACCATCGATCTTAATGACACCCTCGCAAATTTCAACTAATCGGAATAAAGCTACGACCAAGGAGCTTTTACCGGATCCTGTGCGACCCACGATGCCTGAAATAATTCACAATTAATTTCTCGCATAAGAAAATGCGACAAACGAGTTAAGGAAATATTTAGCCGCATTACCAATTTTTTCTCCGGCCTTTATGGTAAACGAGACGTCGAGCAGTATAAGCGGCAACTCCTCTCTGTATCTCATCTGAACAGCTTTGAACTCTATTTTGCCACGAGAAGGCCAATCATCGGCTGGTTTAAGAGCAACTGTTCTATTTGCACCTTCTTTCTGCAAAGTCTGAATAAGATATAAAATTAAGACAAGAGGAAATTACAGAATCAGCAATTTATTATCAATTAAACAGAAATAAATTACCTTGAGGTAATAACTAATTCTCTCTACGCTTATAAAGCGCACCTCCGTCTCAGACATTAGTCTAACCGTATACTGGAAAACACCAGTCATCTGTGTGGCATACGCCATAGCCAGACCGGCAAAGGCCGGCGATATTTCATTCTTAAATGAAATCACAAATAACGCGATTATACAGGATGCAGCGATTACCAAACTATCCAGTCTAATCGCAGACCATCTCATCGCGGCTTGACACAGATACTGACATACATTATTCGTGTTAAATAATTCTTCAAATCTATCGACAAGAAACAATCGTCATATTCTTTTTCTTCTGTTACTTCATTATTATATGATGCAGCATTTCACTAAATAATTACCTGTATAAAAAATTCTTCTCCTTTTGAAATGCGTGAATTGTACTTAAACCTTGGATCGTCGTTGTAACGAAACTTAAAACAGGAGACCGCGAGACACTCTCCATTCTCTTCAAATCCCTCATTCCTATCCTATGAAGACCCGAAATAAAACAGTCAATCATGTAAATTATGTACGTAAATTATGCGATATTTAGGCTAATACCTAAACAATTTGCCAACGAAGAAGAATAGTATACCAAATAGAAGTAGCGGTATCGAAAACCAGGGCAGTATGCCACAAATAAAGAAAATAGCAAAACTGCAAGTAAAAATATTTTGCACCATGTTTTCTATCGATATGGGTAAGTAATTATCAACTGCAAATCAAAAAATTAATTAAATTAGATATATTGATTTGTGACAAGTGCATATGTTTAAAATAATTAAGAAATCACTCACTTTCATCTATGTCTCGACTGAAAACGTTCTGTATTCTACCACTTGGAGTAGTTTCGAAGAAGCTTAACGGAGAACTAATAATTTTGTGAAGAAACGTGTTGTGCAATGTGGTCGAAGCTTTTATCGTGGCAAACATAATTACTAAGCCACGAAGAAAACTTGTCAATAATATGCCAATGATGCAAGCACCGTATATGTCTCGATAAAATGGAAAGTCAGGATTAGCGTTGATATCCTCTGAGTATACAGTATCATTAGTTCCTGGTATAGTCACGTTCTGAAAATTAAATAAAATTGACACGTCCATAATGATATATCAGATATTAACTAAAAAAGTGACAATAACAAAAGTATTACTAAAATATCTTTTGATTGAAGAAAAAGAGATAAATGTGTGTGTGTGTGTGTGTGTGTGTGTGTGTGTGTATAATATTGGATACAATGTGCTACTTACGCCTCCACCAGCTTTAATCCATACAGCAAGCCACCAAGTACTGAAGGCCGAACTACCTACGTTCAAGAAAAACGTAAAAAATACGAGAATAGCGATCAAATAACCACCTGTAGCTTGTACATATGTGTGATAAGTGTATGACTTGACGGATCCAGTTTCAGACTTTTCTGCCATTGTTAAAGTTCCTATTCAATATAATTAATAAAATTTAAAAAAAGAAAAATATCAGAGATCTCTAAATCAAAAGATATACAATTAAATGCGCGTACCTTTGTATAATTTCTCTTTTCCATAATTTTCTTTGTGCACAGATTTCTTTTGCACTTCTAAATCATTGGTATTTCTTTGTGTTACTTTCGTAGATTTAACACTGTGAAGAAATAAAAGACTATTAAATTACTTTCAAACAATTCAAAAAATATAATGCCATGTACATTAAACGTACGCTGACAAATTATCTTCCGTTGCAATTGTGTTGTTCTTCACCATTGATGCGTATTCCCTATCGAGTCGCACGAGATCTTCATGGGTTCCATGCTCTACAATCTTGCCCGCATTCATCATGTAGATTTCATCACAGTGTTTTAGAAACTGTAATGAAAAAATTTGGAATATTTTAAAATTTTGACGCCAATATTTCAAAATCACATTGTTAATTAATTTCCTTTGAATTTATTTTTTATACTTTTAGAAAACAATAAAAAATATATAAGAAAAATTCTCATTATTATTAATTATAAGGCACATATGTATTATTAAATATCTTGAAATTTTAACATCAATTAAATACCTACCTGAATGTTATGTGTCACAAAAAGAACAGATTTGTTTCTAAGAGCTTCAAGGATCAATTTCTCGAATATATATGAACCAACGTATGCATCAACTGCGCTCAAAGGATCATCAAGAAAATAAATATCCCTGAAACAATAAATATAATTGCTGTATTCGATTTTTATCCGTTTCTATCAATATAGATTAATTTTAATTTCGGCTCAATTCTTAGAACTAGAAAAAAAAGAGAATTAGTTGAACCGAGATTAAAATTAAACTACATTGGTAGAAACAGATATTAGCAGCACAACCAATGTACTTCTTAAAAAGGAAATGGTAAAGATTTTTGGAAACGCACCGATTGGCATAATATGCTCGCGCGAGTGCAACTCTCTGCTTTTGTCCTCCAGACAGATTGACACCCCTCTCACCGATCTCAGTGTCATCTCCTCCTGGTAACATATTTAAATCTTCCTTCAGATTGCAAATTGTGATCGTGTGATAATAACGTTTGGCATCAAACTCCTCGCCGAACAAAATATTCTCCTTAAAGGTTCCATTCACAATCCATGCCTGTTGGCTGACATAAGCGCAAGTGCCCTCCCTTAAGATGTGTCCTTTTGTTATTCTCAATTGTCCTAAAGCTGCTAGAAGCAGACTGGACTTGCCACTGCCTACGTGACCACAAATACCGACCAATTTTCCTTTAGGTGCTCCGAAATGCACGTCAATAAGAACTTCGACGTATTTAGCTTCTTGCGTCGATTGATTCAAATTTTCCAGTTCCGGCGGATTGTCTGTGATTGGTAGTGATTTCTTCCTACATAAAAAATAGTTATCGCAACACATCAGAGAGATTATTATAGTAAATATTATGTAATAAATATTTACTTTTTCTTGCTGTCGATCGATGCATCTGTTTGAAGTGTCATACTGTCGCAAACGAAGGTACCATTAGCAATGGCAACTGCTTGCGATCTCACAATCGGTTTTGATGCCTGGCAACTGCTTTCATCCAATAGTAATACACTCTGTACAAATATTGCTTCGTTAATTAAATTATTTAGTCAATAAATTTTCAAAAAAATGTAAAGCCATTGTTAAAAGCATGTTGAACAAACGAGCAAATAAATATATAAAAATGTAACTTTATGCAGAAATAAGATAAAGATATGCAATAGATATACATTTTGCGATAATCTAGATATTTCATCCTTCACAGTAGTATGAAATATCCCCAAACGAATCAATTTCTAAAAACAAATTTGTATAGTTACTTTAAGCTCATCAAACCTCATAAATGACATGATACAAATACAAAAGCAATAAAAGAAGCAAATATGGAAGCAAATGCTGGATAAGCAAGTTTTATTAGCAAAATGAAAGCTTATTATCATTTGATTACATCGGAAAATGAAGATATTAATTGTAAAAGCACGTTTAGGATACAACACGTATGTATGCAATCGATCTGTGCATTTCTATTAGATATAAACAAGAATAAACACCTTTATTCTGCCAAAAGTTATTTTTACTGCGGCGATATTAAGTAAGGCCACTTGTAAAAACATGAAAGAAGTACGAATTTGAGCATTGAGCACCGATACGAAGGGAAACACCTGAAAAGTGTAGAATTAAATCGACTGTTAAAATCCTCCGTAAGCATGGGACGTTACACCTTCACTCAATATTATATACAGCTGGCAATTCGGGTATTTGGCATATTAAAAGAATCGCTAAGAAATGTAACAGCTGTTCGAATGTAACAAGGCATGCAATGTTTGTCCATAATTTACTTTAGTATTACTAAAAAGCTTATGTTACATTAAAACAACATTGACCACATGTACGTATTATTATAGGAAGTGTCCGTGCTGTTTTTCTCTAATCCCTATTTGCACAAATTCTTTATCAAAATATTAATTTATAATGATCGAATATCTTTAATAGACTTTGCAGGCTAAAATTGATGACAGTTTTAGATTAGAGTTAATTAGTTGTAGATTAGAGTTAATTACTTGTATTTTAATATATAATTTCGGTAGAAAAATATATAAAAATAAATTAACGATTCAAACGAGATTAAATTTATTAAACACGGATACTGACTTTCTAATAATAGATACGGATATCCCATTAAGCTGTACATGAAATCACTCAAAAAACATTGGAGACCTTGAATCTTCTAAGAGCTATGAGGGCGCTGATAAAATATCGTGTGGTATCCTTAAGTGACGTGAGTGCCAGTCTAAGCAAATTTCCAAATAATGTGGTCATTGGAAAAGCCTGTAATATAATCCATTGATTGTAAAATTCAGGGAGATATTACCTTGCAACTGAAATTGCAAATATTCGTGGAAATTGATTGAACTATCTTCTAAGGGAAAATTTTATCGTCTTACCAAATTGCTTGCCTATTGAATGTTATTCAATTTTCTCCTGATATACATAAAATTTAGATATTTATGAAAATATTATATATCTTAAAAATCAGAAATTTATTAAAAAATTGTATTTTATACCTGTGCAGCTGTTAATCCACTGCCCGAAGCAATATGTGCTAAAAACGTGATGATCGCGGATATCACAGGTATAGCAGGCGTCAAAGAAATACTAAGGCTTTGAAAGTACGCAGTCTTATGAAGCCAACTTTCTTCTTTCTTGCGTATTGCTGTAAGAAAACACATTATCAAATTATCTATGTTTTACACACACAAATTTTGTAAATGTAAATTTAACAAATTTATATATCTTTCTAATAAAGAATATGTATATTAAAATAACTCTATTGCTTTGCCAACAACATTGCTTTTAATAATTTCTGTTCTATATAAAATATAATTTTCTATTATATTATATTATTCTCACCGAGAAGTTTTTGGCCAAAATATTTCTCCCAGGCATACATCTTAATCAACTTTATGCATTCGAGAATCTCACTCATGAGTCGTACTCGAGTATCTGTAACGTTTACCGATTTCGAGCGAAAATAGCCAGTCGCACGAGAGATGAAGTACTAAAACAAATATTGCTCTGCTTATTAAAATATGCAGAATGAGCGTATATAGCATTTGTAAAAATTTTTCTCTTAGAATTTTGATACAATATCAAAATGTTAATATCTACAATGACTGAATATTTTTAACAATGAGCTATTTACCTGACACGGATAAAACGAGAGAAAAGCTATCATTCCTACTAGAGCAATGGGATTGAATAGCCACAATATGTAAATTATACCACAACTTATAACTATCGGCCCGCTGATAATCATTGGTCCATAAATAATCACATCAAAAAGTCTTTGACTGTCGTTGCAAAATAAATTGATTATCTAAACACAAGAGTCATATACATACTACATCAAGAGAGCATTTTCTTTGTGTTTAAAGATTTACGGAACAAATTAAGTATCTCACTTCTCCTGTACTTTTATTGCCAAGACTATTTAATCTTATAATTTTCTTATACAACAGAGCTGTACAAGCCGACTTCAATCGTAATCCAGTCTTGTAGTTCATGTTCCATGTCCAGGTAAAGAAGAAAGCTCGCAAAGAATCGCATATTGTCAGTAGAAAAACCCATTTGATACCATCCCAAAAATCCTCTTCCGGAGACTCTATGTGTTCCAATATTTTCCTCATTAATATCGTCTAAGTGAAAGAAAATTCTATATTACAATACAAAGATTTAATTTAATAACAATTTAAATATTGTTATAAGAATGATCTTACCGGACTTAGAAATCCAAAAATAAGAGAACATGTCAATAAAAAACATGACATACAAACTCGTGTGCGTACAAATTTCCATGCAACTGTAGAAAAAGATGCTGCATTCGGACCATTTTGACTTAGCTCTTGTTGCCAAAGTACATCGAGTCTAAAAAAATAATTCTTAGTTATATTATAACTACAATAGAAACTTCGTTTAGCTGAAGTATCGGGGGACAGTTCCGATACCAGTATTTATTAATTCTAATAATAGCTGACATTGAGAAAACAAATTGAACGCATCGAGCTTTTATCCAAATTATGGCGCCGTATCTATTCTAAATAGAATGTCAATAAACAGAATTTTACTTATTTGTTCAGGATACAAATAATATATTAAATAATATATTAAACTCACCTGAGTGCATTGTACTCGCAGCTATCATATACCGATATGTCTGGTAAGTCCTTTACCGTAAGACCTTTCTTGTATGCTTTCCATAAGTACGGCGTCATCCATGTTATATATACATAAGAAAATAATCCAGCATTATCCGCTGAATTTTCTTTCTTCCTGTAAAATGTATTTTCATCATTAAAATAATAATTCTTTCCAACAAATATCAACAGTAACACAATTATTAATTTCTCATTCAAGAATGTAACTAATACAACACATGTGTTATATTATTGTTAGTTGATAAAATATATTGTTGTATCTAATAAAGATTATATACAATACATTTCATTAAATATTTTATTAAATATATATTAATTATTTTTAATTATTACAAAAGATTATTTCGAAACTTCGATTACGACACATACTGGTTCTGGTACCGTATTGGTATCAAATTGCTCAAAGCATTATTGTACTTCTTCATCCCAGATCTGGGGATATACTCTCTAACTTGTTTCGCTGTACTGCCACTTGCCTTTGGTAAAAGAGAATGCTGTTGCTCAGGCTCTAAAGACCTAACAGAAGATTGAAAGAAATTGATATACCTTCCAAGTTAATTCATATAACTGAATCCAAATATTTCATTAACATTATTTCTCTCAAGAAGAAAATATGAAAGACAATTTTAAATGACCCCATACCTTTCATTATGTTTGTGCTGTACATTACTTTCAATCCGCTTGTCATTATTACCATAGTTGCTTTCTGTATTTTGTCCCATTTTTACAGAATATTATTTGTCAATTCACTCTAACAAATGTAATGGTACCGGAAGAATCTAAAACTTGAAACTTAAATTAATGTCACATCACAAATTGCATCTCGAGAAACTAAATGAGATAAAGATCTCTAATCATCGCAAGGCGTGCCGTGATAAAGCAAAATTACATAAAGCTGCATACTGTATATGTTCGGTGAGAATTAAGTTACTAGTTATTACGTATCTCGGGAAAATCGAGGCATAAACAAACTTCTTATACAACTGCGAAAATGTGTAATACGACTGTAAATATGCCAATTCCTATATAAATTATTCCCACATACTTTCATTCACGCAATCCTTTATACATAAATAAATAGTATCCAACACTGTTATTACTTACCTCAGTGTGAGATGTCCTCATTTGCGACAAGAAGTAATCATCGGCGACACTGATAAGAATGTGGTTTAATCTCTCGACATCATTATGAGATGCGATTTTTTAAATTCCGTCCATGCGCGAAGCTGAAGAATAAAACAGGAAAGGGTGAGGCGCAGTCGTGCCATATATGGCATTTACATGGCACGCACACTAATGCACCTTCTCGTATTGAATGACTTTACACCTGCAATGATAACATTTAACGTTTAGTAGAATATCATTTTCGCAAAGCACAAATTCGAGTTCTATTGGCACACGAAAATAAACCTTGCTTGGACGATCCTTTTCCCTTCTTTGGAAACTGCGAGATGATGCGTTTTATCTTGTTTACAATATCGAAAATAGAATAAACCATTGAAATTACTTACAAGTTCACTTTCGATTGATGGGGATATGAATGAACGTGCTCGAGAACTCCGTGCACAGAATGAACTTTCTATCGAAGCCATACGCTTTTGTCTCCTGGAAAAGCGTGGGCAAGCATCGTCATATCTGGAATCTCAGCTGATCCATGCTTCGTCTTCTGACAATTCGATTTTCCTCCCGAAGCTTCCGTTTCCAAGTACGATGAACCACTCGTGCATTGTTTACTTAATGAAGCATTTGCGTGTGAGGAAGTGTATGTGAGCGACGTGTCGAAGTATTCATGACTGTATACAGAGTGTTCGAAAAATTATATTATGTTACAGCGTTCGAGTCCATGGAGTCCATTATTAAATGAATAAATGTTTTGTAACATTGATATCGAAGATACATCAAGTCTTGTAAAAATATTATAGAGAGTAGATGCTTGAATAAACCAATTGGGATACAAAATTATATTGTTATTTGAATAAATGTATAAAGCAATTAATAAAAGCATAGAAAGTGAGATACTCAATTTGCTTCGTAAATATATGAATGAATCTTGTGTGTAGATTATTAGAATAATTAGAATCTTGTGTGTAGACTATTAGAATAATTAGAATATCCTGACTCAGGATATTCTAAATGACATATACAAACAAGATTCATTCATTCATTTTATCCTTATTTGACATTTGGTGAACAACAAGGATAAAATGATACTTGCAGATATTCGAAATGTGTTTTCGAACACAATTGCTGGAGAAAAAATTTCTCAGAATTTTTGTACGAGTTTGGAACATTTTTTAGAAATATTGAAAGTTTATTTTTTTTTAAGAATTTTTCATGTCATTTTATTAAAAAGAGAAATCTCGGAATATTTTTTTGAGAATTCACAAAAATGAATGTTTTAGAATTGTAGAAGAAATACAGATTTTTTTTCGACATCTGTGTGAAGTGCTCCAATTTCTATCAAAAATCAGAGAAATTTTCTAAAAAGTTAATCAGAAATTCTAAAATTTATATAAAAATTCTGAAAAATTACGAAGAAAATTCTGAGAAAAATTTTCATCAGGATATATTCTTATATACCCTTTTTGATAGTTTCTTCCATAAATGAAATGCTGAAATATTCTTTAATATTAAGGATGTGTGGCTCATATCTCAAAATATTACATTATATTATCTCAAAAATATAAAAGTTTCAGATAGTTCCATTATTATGTCTGAATATCTGTATAAAATTTGAGCACAATTCTGATTATTTTGCTGCATAAAATTATTATAAGCCAAATTATTTATCTTTTATATAGTTGATTTCAAGATGCATTCACCAGCTAATACATCAAAATTTTTTGGATAGGTGATATTAGTTTATTTGATTGATTATTTGACTAATACTTTAAACTGATATTGTATAGCCAAAATATCCTTAATAAACAGTTTTGAATGTGAAATAAGGAATTGATTGGAACTTTCAAAAAATTTTAGATTGGATTTTTTTCTCAATTTTGAATGACAATTTTATTCTAAGAATATAATACAAACTAAGAATATGTATAACAATACAAATATAAACAAGTTAGATTTATTCGGCGTAATTCAAAGCCGAACGTTCGATTGAGATAACAAGTCTAACTTATTCACGTTCGTATTGTTTCTAAGGAATTACATATTTTACGTACTTCCTTTTTATTGTTTCGAATTTTTTTTTTCAAACATGTGCGATAATATAAATCGAAATCAAATATGCATTAAGATATACATAACATTGACATTTGCAGCCGGCACACCGACTCAAAGAGAACTGCAGCGTCTCCTTATATAGTTTCGTAACATCTATAAATATCAATGGAAATTATAATTCTTAGTCCAAGATTATACAATACGTCATATAGTACATTATCGCGTTGTGGTGAAAGATGAGTATGAGCAGCTATATCTAACTTAAGATTCCGCATGTACAATACACAAGACAATACGATGAATTTATTGAGGTGTAATCGCGAACTATAGTTAGTTCGTATTATAATCGTATATTTCGCGCTTTACAGCTCACCGCTACGTCTCGACGCTTATTGACGATTATCATATCTAAGCTTGCATCAAAGTTATTACGATAAGTAACAAGTTTATATTATATATAAAATTATAATTCTAATATTTGATATTATCAGAAAATATCATGTACGTCGCCACTAAAAACAAGAAATATAAATACTTTTATCACATTTAATCTAATTGTATGGCTAAACCAAACTCGAAAGTTACACTCTTTTTCAATAATAATTCCCCAAGAAATTTTCGCCTTGTATTTTATTTCGACGACGTACGATTGTCTGTTGACATTGTGCTCAGTTTAAACGAAAAAAAAAATTATGTTATCGAAGATAACATAAAAATTATGTTATCGAAGAGAAAATTGTCTTTCCACCTTTACTCACTCATAGCAAAAATTAAATTATATGTTCTGTGTAAATTACATATTTTGTTATATGTTTACAACATACTTTATGTTATAAAAGAATAAGCAAGAGTACTTATACACTACTGATTTGGCTTACGATTAACATATAATTCAAGACTATATACGAAAAAAAGAAAAAAATAAAATCTATTCATATTGCATCAATGTGATTTAGAAATAGATCTTTTCCATCGATCACTTTGATTCTTTTGAATGTTTAGCGTTAGAAACGCATTGCCCGATCTCAAAAACTATTATAATTACTGCCGCCCAACTGCGAGTTGAAAGTTCTGTTGTTTGGAGAGTATCCTTGCCTGAAGTTGTTACTTAAGCCTGTGTACAAAGAAATCTATATGTACGTATACATAACATGGTAAATAATATGCAATATTATGTCAATGTGATATAATAAATGCGAGAACATTTGCTTGTAATTTAAAAGTGTTAAAAATTATAAAATTGCTTTCAAATTACGTAATATAGGGAAAAATATATACAAAATTCAATTTATAATAATTGTAAGAGATTATTAGATATATTTTCAAAATATTTTAAGTACAATTATTTTATTTTATCTTGTTGTGTTTTCAGATATTTTTTGGTCCAACAATTTTACCTCTATAGAAATTGTCAATATGACAAAGACTCGTAAGAAATTATTTTATATATTTTTAAAATATTTTAGAATAATAGAGAATAACAATAATTTAGAGTTTTAATTGAAAGTTTTTATCTTCTGTAGCGTGTTTTTGGAAATTTTCCACATGATCCAGAATTACCTCCACAGAAATTGCCAATGCCACTTAGTGACATGTTACTTGATCCGCCGGATGAGTTCATGAATAACTCAATGTATCTGTGTGACATGTGGCTTTTATCCTATAATAAAACGCGAAGAAGTTAATTACATTATCTTATTATGCAAGTGTATGAATTATTGGAAATCTAAGTCAATTTTTAGAAATTATTTTTAATTTCTACATGAATTTCTACAAGATTTCTACACGTGAAAAAAAATTGCGCGCGCGCGTGTGTGTTTGTGTGTATAAAATCGTACACAGTCATATATTATAATCGTATACAAGTTCTGTTTAAATAATTTCTGAAGTTGACTTCGATTAAAGAAATAAAAAATATAATACACAAACCTTGCACATTGCTTTCAAAGCTTCTTCATGAGTCGCGAATTCTACATCAGCTTCTCCCGATGGACGACCACCATTCTCAAGAATAATGCGAACATTTACCGGTTCGATTGGTCTGAAGAACTGCAAAATAAGACCCAAAATGTTATGTTATTGAATATTAGGAAAGAGTTTTTGAAAAATAGAGTCTTATCATTATTATCGGTTATGAAAATTACATCAGCTATATCTTGTTCTGTCGCTTTGAACGGCAGTCCTCGCATATGGATACTATATACGCCGGAATTACCGCCCCAGGAGTCATTGTTGCCTCTGTAATTGCCACCTTTCATGTCCATGCTGCCACGCATTCCCATATTGCCGCCACGAGATCCGTAATTGTTCCCACTTCCCCATGGACCGTTATCAAAGTCTAAAGTAGATTACACAGTTTACGATAAAGCTGAAAATAGACTACAAGCTCTAAGGAAGTAAAATATAAGACATGTAAATACATACGTAATGAATTAGTACGTGAATTGTATATTAAGTCTCTATTACGGTATTGTCCTGCACGATTGTCTTCGTACTTCGATAGATGAAAGGAATCACCTCTATTTCTGGATCCTCTGCCATTGTTGCTAAAACGATTCATCCCACCGAAGCGGTCACCACGAGTGTACGGCGCGGGCCTCTGATTGAAGCCGCCCATGGGACCACCGCGCATTTTCGGTCCGATACTAGCGCGTACCTCGGATAAGCTGCTTCGGAAGATCTCGATATATCTGTTAATGATTGAAGATATACGCGTTAGAGATGCGCAGAGCGACACGTCAGCAAATAAATAATCGTCATTATTATTATTATTATTATATTATTATTATTATTATTATTATTATTATTATTATACTCTCACCATACAAATGCCACCAAATTGAAAATTCGACAAAACTTAATGATACGGATTTAATTCGAGATATCACAAATGGTGAGAGACAAGAAAAACAAAAACAGTGATACACATTAACTTTATAGAAACAGAAAAGGTGTAAAAAGGAGCCATTCCTGCACAGCAATAGCGAGAGATTAATTATTTACTGTCTGACATTTACAATAAAAAAAAAAAAAAGGAGGAAACTTGTCTGGCAGTTTGGCATTGAAGTTGAGTTTACATGTGACAGAACAATTATATTCATACTAAACCTCCGCAATTTTTTATTAAACCTGCGAAGAGACCCTCCCACGATGAAATTCCTTCCCGACGTATCTACGTCACACGTACCCCACAAGCCCATGCGACGCCGACGATCTTCGGGTAAGCTACGCTCACGATTGCACCCTTTTGCAGATGAACTTTTTCGATTGACGTAGATTATCAATTTATTTAACATACGCTGACATACAAAAAATGTCCTAGTGTAATAATAAAGCGGTTTGAAGTTTACTAAACAATTTAATCTTGAAGTTTGACATTCATCTGCAAAAAATGCAATTATGGGCGTCGCCTAGACGTTGTCGTATTGGATCGATGGTTACTATCTCTCCACCTCTCTCTTTCTCTCTGTAGCACCCACCAAGCTTTGGCGTGCCCTACCCACCTCCCATGGGATTTGGTGATGATGGTAAGGGGCTATCTCCCGCCCCCCCAACACCCACCCATAAATATAAGTAGTTGGGTCCACAGTACTTTCGCTTACGTACGACTATTTGGTTGTAATTGTGTTTTGAGAGAGGCAGTTTCTTTATGTCAAATAAGAAAAATTTTCTAGAGGCGATCCTCTTTCGATACAAAAAAAATTCATTTGTTTATAACTTTAAAAAACTGTTAAATTATTTATCTCGACACGGCAAAATGCGGGATTTTCTCAAACTAGCTTATGTTAAAAATTTTCAAAACGTGCGAATACACATGTACTGAATAGAGCTTAATAATAATACAAATACAATGTTCTTTCATTTTCGTTTTCGCGCGGAAAATCCTCCTCAGAGAAAGATAAAGAAACTGCATCCGTATCGTAGAATTCGTTCCCACTATTTACTAAACGAAATGTATATACCTACATGTACTACGATCATTAATATAAATGATATGGAAAAGTCATAAGTATACCCAAACCCAGCTATACCGTCTCAGTGCCCCACCTGTGTCCTATCTTTTCCTTGTGTTTCTGCAGAGCGCGCTCCGCAACATCTTTGTTAACAAATTGAACGTAAGCCTCCCCAGTACTGCGGCCCGTGTAGTCTGTAGGTAGTGATATCCCGTTCGGAAGGATCTCCAACCCTGACCCACACATAATCAAACATCGATATTGTAGCTTATAGGCACCCATTAGGAAAAAGAAGTTATGGTCAAGTTTATTAAAACCCTTATAAAAGAAGCAAAACTTTTAAGGACTCTAAAATTGCGCACATACGTGCGCATTCTTTTTCTTTCTTTCTTCTTTCTCTTCGTGATTCTCCTTATACAGATATAAGACATTAAATTGTCACGTCCGAAAACCAAAGTTAAGAATTAAGCTCGATCACCAAGTCGTGCAATGAAAATATTTTCGTTCATACAAATTATAAAAATCATAAATCTCCGACACATTCGTATAGCACAACTCAGATCTCAGCGAAATCTTAAATCTTAACTAAGGCTAATCGTCGATAACAGAACACAGAGACATCATTCTTCAGATGGTATTTAATTTCATCTAATTTAATTTTGATAGCTGCGTTTGAGCCATTACCTCATTACTTTTAGTAGCTAATTTTAGAATAAGCATCTAATATTGTTAGAAAGCAATTGTTACAGCTTGCTTGTTACAAAATTCATTGATGCAAGATAGTAATTTTAGTAATTTATGTTAAAGCCATCGAAAGTATTCCGTCACTGCGTTCCTGAGACAAATTATTGAATTTCATTTATTCATTTTTATCTTATGAAAAAGGAAGTATAAAAATATAAAAAAACTACATATTTGAAAAAGATGAATAGGTGTCTGTTTTCCAAGGATTAAATAAAATCTCAATGACATTTGATATCAATTAAAAAGCATTGATACTGGATACTTTGGATTGTTACATGACAAGTACCTGAGAAGAATTGTGCAATTTCCTCTTTTGAACAACCAAACGGCAGGCCGCGCAATCTCACGCAACCATCATCCATCGCGTTCTCCAAATTAAGACCGCTCCTCTTCACGACCCATTCCATTTCGCCGCGTTTTGCTTTAAAAACTGAAACAACAACATTATACATTTAGGTCCAATAAGGAAGTAAAGGTAAAACTAATCATATTAAAGACTCTTACAATAATTGAAAACTGCTTTTTTTTTGTTAAACACAATTACATATTAAAAGAACTCATAGTAAATTAACCTTCGATATAACGGTGGCCCATGTGATCTCTATCTCTTTTGCAAGCCTTCTCAATATCTTCTGGAGTATCCATTTCTACATAAGCTTCGCCGCTAGGGCGTCCCTCACGGGATGTAGTCATGTGAACTCCGTTCTTGCCATTTGAAATCGAACAGTCGCCAAAGAATTTCATAATCTCATCTACAGTGGTGGACCATGGCAGTCCACGCACCTTAACAACATATCCCTCCTCCTCATGATCTCCACTACCACTCGACATGATTCTAATCTAATGCAATCTCTCCTTATAAATAATATCTGCAAATACAAAGATGGAATATTTTACAATCAATTTAAATAAATATAATAATATAATATAGTAGAGAATGTTTTAGGATCGTTAAGTTAGATATTTCAAATAATATAATATTCTTGATTTATGAATTGAAAGTGAATGCAATTATACAGAAAAATTATAGCAAATTCAATTGGATGCATTGATGCACACTCAGTGTACATTAAAGTCTTTATAGACAAATGATGTACACTTAATATAAAAGCAGATTAAACTATAAAATCCTCAATATTTTATTGTGCTATTTGATAAAATACATAATATTTTGAATACATAGGATACATTTAGTATCATAGACTATTTATTGAACGCTCAGTAAGAAATGAAAAAATATGTTTATTGTAATATTCGTAATTTAGAGTACCTTATCTGTTAGATAATATTTAATATTATATTTCTTATTTACTAATTACTGTTTAATAATTCTTAAGGCCATAAGCACTCATGAGTGGCATTAAGCAATATGAGTGATATAAAATATCGCTCACCTTGGAAAAATAATAAATAGTAATAAGTAAAAAATATGATATTAAAGATTATAATATAAAGATTATACTATAATATAAAGATAAATTATTCTATATTATGAATATTATAATAAACATATTAATTCCTTTCTTACTCATTGAGTGCTCAGTGCTCAGTCTGTAATACTAAATGCACTGCATTTTTTCAAATTTCTTAATTTGAAGTTGCATTTTATTTTAATACACTAAGATCAGTATATGATGACTTTAATACGCTTTTGACTTGAGTATACTTGATATCAAACTTGGTATATAAAATTTAATTATGTTACTTGAATACCAGCAATTTCGCAATTCTTCCAAATTAAATTCACATTACATGTTGAAACATTTATCTTTCACATTTAAAACATCTTGGAAATTATTTTGCAAGAAACATACATACAATCACAAAACAATAAAAAAAAGAGGGAAGAAAAACAAAAACCAGGACATATCAACAATTTCCGTCAATTGTTTTCACAGGCTGAATATTGACAGATAAATCGACGAAAAGAACGATAAGATTAAAAGAGAAAATAAAAGCGAATAATTCCGATCGCAAAATAATCGTCTGCTAGACTGCGGCGTTCACTTTTAATCAATTCAAAAGTGAAAATACACGCGAAAGTCATGAAGAATTTAACTGACACGTTGAGTGTAATGGACGACATATACTTAAAGCCGACCTATACTTTTTATTCCTGCAGTAAATTGTTTTAGTCAAATATCAAATATATACCAATTTTATTTTTAAGTTTCAAACATAAATACTAGCTCAATTATAAAAAAAACAGACCTAATAAACGCACAAATATTTGATGAAACATCTCGCGGAGGAATGCCATTATGACTGTTGGGAGAAGCAATGGCATTCGACAAGATTCATGATAAGTACCGATTCGCCCAACTTACCGCCGCCTGGGGCGTTGAAATACTGCTCTTCCCGTTCTCGAGCACAAAGTTAGGTAACAACTAATTAGAGAAATCTGCTCGAATTTACACAATATTATCCTTGAAATCGTTCGCTGAATACTACATACAAACGATCGACTCAACCGAAGTAGAAGTACCTGTAAGTACCGAAACCGAAGATTCGTGAACAAAATGGCGGACGATGACGACGCGTTCGGCAAAACGATCGATGCAAGCGTGTTTCTAGAACGCGTTCCAAAACTCGACTTCCGTCAAGTATCTCTCCTTGTTCAACGTTCAGTAAACAACAAGAATAAAATGATACTTGGTTTGATAGAGTTGAGTTTTAGAATGCAGCCCAAAAGCGCAACCTCAAGGTCACTTTACGAAACGCCGATGAGCTCAATCGGCCAATCGCATTTATCATTTCGTTTAACAGCAGATGCGATTGGCCAATTCCAATGGACTAATCGGCGTTTCGTAAAGTGGATCCTAAACGCTAAAGTCTCGTTATTTAATGGAAAATCGAACTGTGCATGTGCAGTTTCCCCTAAATTAAGTTTTAAAGCCGGTTGTTTCACCCTTTGGTAAATTTTACCTGAGCGAACGCTCGCTATTATTAGTGTATTCTTTTAGATCCAATCAGCATTTTAGATCTGAAAGAATACATCAATAGCAGCAAGCGCTTACTCAACTGTTGAGTTCGCTGAACGCAGCCATTGATTATCTTTATTTAACATTCGATGATCAACAAAGATAAAATGATACTTAGAGTTGACAGAGTTGAATTTTGGAACGCAACCCTGGATGCACCTATTAAATGCCTACCCACTGTAGCCAACATAATAAGTCCTACCGCACCGCCGTGCTTCTTACCAGATCGATCGTGCAACGTCCAACAGTTTGAAAAAGAGAGAAAGGAAATAAGGAAGGGAGAAGAGAATAGCACGAGAGAAACCGGACAATTTAGTAGACTGACGACGACGCAGCGAGTGGCTTGGGTTGTGTGGACAGCAATTCATCTCCTCGGTACAGCAGCGTTTACAGGACAAGGAGAGCGAGTAGCATTGTGAGGAGGCGATCGCACGCGCGACTCGCGAGTGTGGCGGCCGGCTGGCTGACACGTTCTCGTCGTCGTCGTCGTCGTTGTCATCGTCATCGTGATACTCGCACAGTCCGTTGTCATCCAGTTGTCTCATTACGCGTCTAGTTGAGCAAGGACGCAGCGGACCTGAGTGGACCACGCGACCGAGCGGAACGGGCGAGAGCGGACCCAACGAGCGGAGTGACTCGGTCACAGCTACGACGAACCCGTCACGATGAGTTTTCTATTGTGAGTCTCCTCTTCTTCGCCTCCGCGACTTTCTCCTCTCCGACCATCGCCGTCGAGTCGAGTCGAGTCGAGTCGAATTAAATCGCCGCCCTCCGATCGATACGTCCTCATCCTTCCTATAAGGATGAAACAGAACGAAGCCACAGGAAAAATCCTAATCTTGTTCATCTCCTTTTGTAACAGCTGACGATTTATTTTTATTTTTCTTTAGGAAAGATTCCGCTAATCTTTGTTTCTTATTCTATTCCAGGATGTCCTCTTTTCTCCCTTTTTTTCTTTCATATATAATCTTAACAGTCAAATTTATTGTTCTCCATAACGAAGTTGACGAGGATGAGATCAATTTTGATGCCGTCTACCGGTGGATCGATCAAGAATAAAAATAGCGCGCCTATCGTGCGGGAGATATCTTCCTTTGGCGCGTCTTCCCGCGGGACCTACAATGTTCCTCGAACGTCAGGATTATCGCTCGACGCGACTCGTAATCTATGAATCATCCGTCTCGGTGGCCGCGCCTTGTGCTCCTCGTCATCGAGAGTGCCACGATATCGACGTTCTCGGAGTCACTTTGACATTCGTGATAAATAACGCAGTCGCTTTCTGCATGCGCGTGATCACGATCAGCTGAGCGTTGCGATCGAGCAGGATTTCTTTTTTTCAAGCTGTGATTTCTTTACGTTTTTTGTGTTTGTAAAGGAAAATATTTAAATTTTTTTGTCTAGAAAAAAAAGCCTGACCAGAGAAAGTGTATAGACGCTATAGATTGTAGAGATATAGATAAAGGAGAGAAAAAGGGAGAGAAGGGGAGAGGGAGGGAGATAACGTTTGCACTTTCCTACCTGCCTTTTGTTGTTCACTGTTAAGTGTAAGCAGGTTTTTGGAGAGAGAAGAAAGAGAAAAAGATTTGCTGAATGTAGGAAAATATTATATCCAATAAGAGCTTTAATGAAAAATTATTTTTGTATATATTTTTACATCATTCTTTTATTTCAAAAGTGACAACTAAAATGTACAACTAAAAGAATGATTTATTTTTTTTTTTACCATAAATGAGTTAGATGAAAATGACTCCGTCGATCGTCAAAAGTAATTTAATTTTATAGTCTGTCCATTAAATAGCACTTGTATCATTCTTAAAATTTTCGAAGAAATAATATTAGGTTGATGCAAGTAAAATGTCGGTTTTCCTTATTATAAAATGGTGGTTTTCCTTTTTCAATATATTCTATTATATTTTCAAAAAGTTAACGATGCGATTATACTATTTGATGGACTAAAGTTTAAGCTTTAAAAATCTAGGTTTTTTTTATTACGATATGATTTTTAATGTATTTAATTTTTGGAGTTATGAATAACCAAAATCAAAATGCTTCTTTTACTTAACTCATGAGTAACTCAGGAACAAAAAAACGTAGGAACATTATTAAAAAACGATTTTGTTGGGAAAATTTCAATTTTTACGATAGTAAAAAATTTTCTCAATTTTTGGAGGGTACATGATAGATCTACAAAATGAGAAGAAAGTTTTTCATTTTTTTTAGCTGATAGTTTTCTATATGTAAAAATTATCAAATTCACACAAACTCGAAAAATATAATAAGTTTTGGAAAGTAAAGTTTTCAAGCTTTAAAATTTTTTTTTAATTTAAATTTTGTTCATTTTTAATGAAGTTATAGCTGCTCTTAATAATAATATAAGAAAACTTCATTTTATTTACATCAATCTAAAACCTTTTATCAGAGTGACACATTTTGAATTGTGTCATTTTTATGAATAAAAAGGAATCTTCTATAGAGAACATTTAGAATTAATACAATTTGAAAAAGAAATTTTTCTATTTTGAATTGTTATTTTAGTTTATGAAGATAAACTGAATAAATTGTTAATGATATTTCGAGTCGCTTTTGATGAATTATTTTGGATTTGTAAGATACCAAAATCATCACAATTCAAAAAAGAATATAATTTTTTTGAAGTTATAAAACGAACAAAAATGAAGATTATACTTATTATGGAAAAAAAATTTCTGGATTCAATGCTATTTATTTTTCGATTTATATTAGTAAAATAGAATTGATGTAGGAACGATCATATTTATTATTGAAAGAAAAATGTCTAATTTTAGTCTTAAATAAAGAATTTTTAAAACTAGAATGAAATTATTTAGCCGGTTTCATCTGAAATACTGTGGCATCGTGCGTTATAATATCGGATAAAGATTTATTCTAAACATAAGAATATATAATACATTTACATGTTACTTTTATCTCAAGACAATAAGGTTTTCCTTTTAGGGGACAATTGATACAAGTATTTTATCTTTGTTATTCATTGAATGCCAAGAAGAACGACGTTTATGTCGTATTTCTTAAAAGGAAAGCAACTTAAGTCAATCTTATTTAATTCAAGGGAAGAATTATTGGTCTAATTTTAATATTATTTAATTTTTATATTGCATAAAATTGTGATAAGATTAAGTACGTTAAGAAGTGTATACAAAAAGGAAAATATAAATACTTGATTTATTATTACGGATAAATTAATGACAATCAGAGTTAACTGTCGACTTGTTATTGATAAGATCTGAAACTGGCAGACTAAAAAATTAAACAAAAAAGAAAAAATATTTTTTATCTTTTTATCAAAAGAGATGTTATATTTTTTGCCGATATTATTTGATTAGTCAATCATTTTCTATTAAATTGAAAAATAGTTTTTCCTCTTTTTTTGAAAAATTTTATTTTTTTAGTTATCACTTTTGTTTTTTGAAGTAAAGAAACGATATATATCTTCATTTGAACATTTGAATTTCATCTAAACATTTCAGGAGTATAAAAGACTACAGCTGAATGAAGAATTTATTCTTATTAAAAAAATGCATTCTTTGATAAATCAGAAAGTAAAATTATTGAAAAAAATTATAAAAAATTAAAATAATATAACGGACTCTTAAAATCACGTATTATATACATTCATCTCTAGATTTTAATTAAACGCCTTAATGTTTGTCATTTTTTAATCTTATCAGTAATACAAGTGTTATTAATAAGCATTGGCAATCAGCTGATTGATATTGATTTATCTATAATGATAGCTTATTTATATGACATCTTTTTTTGCTTCATACTTCAGATTTTTAAGTGAAGATATACAATTAGAATTGTATAGTAAATATCGAGCTAAAATATTAAAATAATAACTCCGGATTTCATAATAAGAAACAGAAATCACAGATAATGATCTTTTTTAATATCTGTCCTTTTCTTTTTCAAGTGGGAGTAGGTCTTCCAAGACTTTTAAACCAAAGAAAAACATCCCGGAGGGTACTCATCAATATGACCTAATGAAACATGCCGCTGCTACATTAGGCTCCGGTAATCTACGATTGGCCGTAATGCTTCCTGAAGGAGAGGATTTGAACGAATGGGTCGCTGTTAATAGTAAGTCGAAACATTAATTTTTTTTTTTCCATTATTATCTTTATATCAACCAGATCTAAACATCTGTCTATTTCTTTCAGCTGTTGATTTTTTCAATCAAATCAACATGTTGTACGGCACCATCACAGAATTCTGTACGGAGGAGAGTTGTCCCATCATGTCGGCTGGACCAAAGTACGAATATCATTGGGCCGATGGTCACACGGTGAAAAAGCCTATCAAATGCTCAGCACCCAAATACATAGATTACTTAATGACCTGGGTGCAGGATCAATTGGACGACGAGACTTTATTTCCATCCAAAATCGGTGATTATATAATTTTCTTTACATTGTTTTCTCTTTCGTCGATCATTCCGAACAGAAAACTAATTCTCGATTATTTTCTCGATTGTAGGAGTTCCTTTCCCCAAGAATTTTTTATCTATTGCAAAAACTATTCTGAAGCGGTTATTCAGAGTATATGCTCACATCTATCATCAGCATTTTAGTGAAGTTGTGCAGCTCGGTGAAGAGGCGCATTTAAATACATCGTTTAAACATTTCATATTCTTTGTTCAGGTATACAATTATATCTCGCAAAAAGTTAATTAAATTAAAAGACTAAATTGATAACAAAAAAAAGCAATGATAAAATTTCATGATATAGTAGCACATGTCTACTAGAATGATTTAAGTATGAATGAGACAAATCAACGGTTGATAGACGGTTTTTTACATTGAGTGATGACAGATGGAGATATCTATTCACGCATTGTATAATTGTGACCTTATGGCAACTGTTTCTGTCATTATTGCAAAGTTCGGATAAATAGTACCAAGTGCACTGTGCCTTCAATAATGTTTCTTCTGAACTGTGCAAAATTTCAAAAATTTTTATATTTTTATTTGCAAGAAGCTTGATCAACGTATGAACTTGAATAACCTATTGTGGAATGATTTGGTACCATTTATTCGGACATTGATAACAATGATTACAAAAACAATTGACTTGATTACAAAAATACGAAACTATAATATAGAGCATGATCAGACAATTACATCTATTACTCGGTGTAAATACGCCTACCAACATTGATTTGTATCAAAACAAAAAAAGTTTTATTCGTATCTAAATCATATATATATTAGGTGTTGGAATTAATTCGTAGCGTTTGATATTTAATATATAATATCGCATTGTAGGAATTTAATTTGATCGAGAGAAGAGAATTGGCACCTTTGCAGGAGCTAATAGAAAAACTGACGGCGAAAGACGCGCGATGAGTCCGTCTACTGTCTACGAGCCACTTGTCCTCTCGAAACTTTTCCAAAGAATCTCTCAACCATGCTATCTTCGCTAACCCGCACATATAATTACATTATTTAAACTGATCTATTAATCGCTAACTCCACGATCTGCCTCTGTTTCAAAGAATTGACGGCAAAAACATGTCACCGCTCCAAAAACAAGTGATTGATAACGCGAGAAAATACCTACAGTGTTCGTTCTGAAACCTCATTCTTCTCTGACGGCGCATAGATATATTCTGTATACTCACTATGTGCACATATATAAAAAGAGAGAGAAAAAAAACTTATCGAGTGGATAAAGATAACGAGACGGAAGTTATGAGACGGCGCGTTCGACTTTGTGACTGTTTTCTTCAAACGTTCTCCAAGTACATTTCAATCGTAATTTATTAATTGCACTGCTGATACACGAAGAAGAAATATGTAAGTACGAAGTACACATTTCGAGGAAAAAATTTTCGAATTCGAAAATTCTAAGTACACGCGTCTCTGTTTCGTAAACAAACAAGATTAATCGTAATGCTCGTGGGTATTCTGCAATTTTGTTATTATTATCTGCTGCTCTACTGTCGGATGTAAAAATACTGTCGCTATTATATAACTATAGAAATTACCGATGCTTCGTACGGCTATGTACAAATGCGATGGCATATCGTGAATTTCGTATAATTACTTTTACGTTTAGAGATAATTTTGTAAACAATTATTTCCTATCATTTCTCGGATTAGTATCCCGTATTTCTTATCGAGAAATTACATATTGTTGTTATAACACACATACACAGACACACACACACACACACACACACACATATATATATATTTATATATATAAAATATATATATGTATAATGCTGTTAAAAAGGAAAGAAAAGTTAACGCGCAATGCTATCGCATTATTATGTAACGATTACTTTAAGATATCGTCCTGTTAAGCGTCCTTATAGACTTATTTATACGATTAGGATTTTTGTACGCGTTTTATCCCTGTAGAAAGTGATATTTCCTGCTTCAGACGCTTTTCAGATACTGGTAGTTAAACCATCTACGTCTTACTGCAATTTCTCGTATAATTCTCTCCAGTTATTAATTTTCGATTTCTATGAATTAACATTATGGACATTATCGACAAAAAACTATCACATGTCTTTGTTCTGTGAACGTCGTGATTGATGTAATATTTCACTGACGTTTATCTTCATCTGTCTTTGTCTAATTAAATTTATGCTGCATTAATGAATGACAGATTTCTAGCAGCACTTTAATCGTCCACAAAGTTCGAATCCGCAACGTCCGACTTCGAATATTTTGTTTTTAATCGATATTTAATAGTGATTATATCTCGGGTTAAAAATATATCGCGAATTGTAAGTGTCGATCCTTAATAATTGATCAACATCACCAACAATTATCGCTATTTATATATGATGATTCGTTGATAGCCCGAATGTATCAAGTAATTCGTCGTTTCTTTCGACATGTTACGCGTGCGATAATAATGAAATCTTTAGAAAATTCCAAAGTGCTGAGAAAAAAAATTTTAAAAAAAGGGAAACATATTTTTTTCATTGCAGTAGACGTTAAGAGTTTAATCGCGTGAACCTCCGTATATATGTATACGTATATACATATTGCATATATATATATATATATATTAACGGCAGCGAAATAAGGTGATAACGCCGTGGAATGAAGACGGCGCGTATATACGATGAATGTAGACATAAATGATGATAGTAATAGTAATGTTGTATTCGGTACTTAAGGAAAGATAGTAAGACGCAATAAGAGTGAGAGCAAAAAAAACTCGCACTTGCGTTCTTCAGAGATGGTTACAATTAGCGTCCGTTCGTGATTGCGATGGACGATAGTTGCCTATTAGAGAACTTCATTCGTTCTCGACGACTCAACCGACTACAAATGGCTATTTTTGGTCTTATACGCGTTTATACGAGTATTAGTGATTCTCTCGACGCCAACCCGCAACTGCTATCCATTCGTGATGTTTAGACGCTTACTTTAGCGACGTTCCCGATCGGAG